CTCTCTCTCTCTCTCTCTCTCTCTCTCTCTCTCTCTCTCTCTCCTCTCTCTCTCTCCCTCTCTCTCTCTCTCTCTCTCTCTCACCCCACCCCACCCCACTCTTGCTGCGCCCGTTTTTCCTTCTGCTTGTTTCTTATCATTATCTTTTGTGTTTTTTTGTTTTTTTTTCCCGTTATTCACACAACCTAAAATTCTCGTACCAATAGGCAAACCATTATTGATAAAAACAACATCATTTCTATCAAATTGTAAACAACAGTCATCTTTTCGGTATTTGGTTGTTTTTTTTGTTTCCACTACAATAGTTTTAAACACATTCTGAGTGTTGCGACCCATTCGTGCTTGTTTCAAAGACACTATTATAGTATCACCTATAATAGCTCTTTGTTTTTTGAAAGGATGCAGAATTTCGATACAATGTACGATTTTTGCACCAAAGGACTGAAAATCCTTGTGTCAGTGGTTCGAATCCACTTCTAAACAGGCAACATCAATCTCTTAAGAAACTCAACTTGGTCAACTTGCCRAGTAAGTAGGCTAAGGACGGATTCGAACCATCATTCGTGGATTTGCAGTCCAATACATTACCTTTATGTTACTTAGCCTTTGATTTGATTGATGAAAAAAAAAAGGTGCGAAGCAATGAGTTTTTTTATAATTTTTAAAAAATCAATTTCGTGTTTGACTCATCTACGTAGGAGTGTTTTACAATGTTCAGTGGAACAAATACAAGATAACATGGTGGTGGTTGAAACAGGGCTGAAAACTCGATTTATTTGTTTGAAACATGAACTGGAAGAAAAAATGAAAATTGGAGATGAATTCAATTTTGGAGTAGAAAATGTATAACTGTTTGGTGAACCAAAAATGATTTTGCCTAAACAAATAAAAAGGGTCGTTGGTGCTGGGTACCCTGCCCGACGTGGTGCGTTACTGATGAGTTTAAATCACCAGTACTTGGCCTGTATATCGGTCGCGGCCCTTTGTTCCCGCAACCGCTGCTACATTTGATCAATGGCCCGCGCCGGTTCGAAAGTTCTGACGAGCTTAAGCCACCAATACTTGGCCCATATATTGGCCACGGCCCCTTGTTGCCACAACCGCTGATAAATTTGATCAATGGCCCCCGCCGGTTCATTTTTGGGCATGCACGGTGTCACCAAGGTCATAGAAAAGTGCCTGGGAAGTACGGGTGGTTTAATATCTGATCCGTGGTCCATCCGGGCCGCCGGAGGGGGGGAGGGGGAAGGACAGATTGGTGGACAGCGGCACGGGTACATATTCTTTTCAATTCCAGTTTGGCACCCCTTGAAATTTCAGTACTTTTCAAGTGGTGTGGAACGAGGCCCTTCCTTTTCAATATTTTTTAATTCAGTAGCTTTTAGGCCAAAACTTGGATCCCACATTCGTCCGCGTTTGTAGGGGTTGCCGAGAAGGTAGGAAACTATTTCGGAGGTTTGATGTCATTGCGGTTGGAGCGCACAGGCCGCCACACGGCTCGTGTGGCATTTGGAAAGAGCCAGCGCCCAACCCCGGCGCGGAAAGAATGACGACCTTTCTTTCTTTCTTTCTTCCTTTTTTCCCCTTTTCCGGGGTGCTGGGTATCCAGTGTCCGTGGTCCAGAGACATGTGTGATGGGGTGACCAGTTTGGGACAGTTGTGGTGGGAGTGCTCCTGCTGCTCCAACGGCCTTGGAATCCAGGACCCCCCCCCCCTGCCCACAAGAACCCGACCGCCCGTGCTTTTGTGAAAGTTGTGCGTGGACCGGGATGTGGGGTGCAAAATTTCTTTGCCGACCCGTGCGCCCCGTGCCAATCTTTTTCGGTCTTTTAGCCTTCTACCAAACCCTGCGTGAAGTGGGATCAGGCTGCCCTCATCCTCTCCCTACTTTATGTATAGAGTACAGGGGGGGGCACCAACCAATCCTGGAACTCTTCCCAGCCCACGGGCCCAGGGGGTAGGTTGGCACCGCAGCAGGGGTGCCAAAGCAAGGCTTGTATTTATCAGCCCCTCATCACAATGATGCGGGGTGATCAGGCACTGCCGACGGGGGAAACGGCATAACGCACCCTGATAATGAATGTATAGAAGCCATCTTTCCTATCCGGTACTGGCAAAATGAGGATGCCCTATGTTCGGGTGAAGACGGTAGCGCCCATCACCTTTGCCAAGGCACTCCCACCTCCCCCTACCCCCCTCCTACCCCACATTAGGGGTGTCTCATGGCCAAAAATCATTGCTGCCTAGCAACCAACAATACAATATTGGCCAAAGTCCTGCCAATGCTGGCTTGGAGGGCCAACGGGTTACTTCTTGGCCGTAGAAAAAAAAAAAAAAAAAAAAAAAAAAACAGGGTCGAACGCATGGACCCGCAGTAGCCGTCCAGGTACGTGGGACCTTCCTTGGCCCCGGAAAAACGGGTGGACTACGGGTACACAACACCTTGGGGGGACCACCACAAGTGGAGGCTCCACGTCACACTTGTGGGTTGCTGCCGCCTGCTATCTCTGCACCCCCCTCGTCTCCCACACCTCTCCACTACGGTCGTCGCCAACGGGCGTAGCTAAGGGCACACTCACACTCAAGTAGCACTTTTTCTACAAAGCTCTGGACGTGATTGCGGACAGAATCATCCCTCTGTGGCCGTAATTGCGGTCAGATGCATTCAGGAACGTGCCACTACCAGTGTGAGTATGCCCTTAGTTGGAACACCCCTCCACTGTTGAAATATATTATACCCCTTAGCTGGAACACCCCTCACCTGTTGAAATATATAGACCCCTTAGTTGGAACACCCCTCCACTGTTGAAATAAATATATAGGCCCCTTAGTTGGAATGGAACACCCCCCTTAGTTGGAATGGAACACCCCTCAACTGTTGAAATGTGTAGACCCTTAAGTTGGAACACCCCTCAACTGTTGAAATGTATAGTCCCAAGTTCTGATCCAGATGCAATCATCAGATGGACACAATAAAATAGTTCCCCTGCCGTCGTCGCGCAGTTTAGAGGGCGGGGCCTCGTCGTCCTACAAGTCCTCGACGACCGGTATTACGTTTCTCGGCGACAGCACGCAGCTCAGCAGGTTGCTGAGCAATGCACCAGGGCTCGCTGTGGCAAGGTGACTTCTTCTCCCATCTCCTTCTTCCTCCTCATCGCCATCTCCTTCTTCCTCCTCATCGCCATCGCCATCTCCATCTCCCATCTTCATCTCCCATCTCATCTCCATCTCCAGTGTCCATCTCCATCTCCTCCTTCCTGCTAATCTCGATCTACTTCGCTCTCCTGTTCTCTTTCTTCCTCCTCCTCTCAGACTTTTTTCTTTAAAAAAAAAAAAAAAAAAAAAAAAAGGTTTCAGGAGGAAGAATGACAGGCTCCGAGGCAGGAAGTCGACCCTTTTTCTAAAAAAAAAAAAAAAAAAAAAAAAAGAAAAAACACAAAGCAGGGCTCTGAAGTCGAGACTTTCCCCATCTCTCTTCCTTCACATCCGCCCGCCTCTCGTCCTCCTCCGTCTTCTTCATTCGCCCTCTTAGGGCATACTCGCACGAGGAACGTTGGTGACTGAATCGGGTCGTGCACAAGGTCAAATACGTGCACTGAGAAATGTCCTCTAGTGAAGCGGGCCGCCCTCGTAGAGGTAAGTAAAAAAATCCTCAGTAGTCCTCGGAATACATCTTTTTCCCTTTATTTTTTCTAGGGCATATTCCCCTTTCTGGTCTCTTTCCATTTGTCCTCCTTTACCCCCTCCCACATTCCTACTTCCCCTCCCTCTTCTCTCTCTCTCTCTCTCTCTCTCTCTCTCTCTCTCTCTCTCTCTCTCTCTCTCTCTCTCTCTCTCTCTCTCTCTCTCTCTCTTCCCTATCCACCCTCTAATCCTCTTCCT